TATCTGACAGAGGAGCATGCCATTGATTCACTGCTTTAAAGCCAGCAGAACTTACACAGTGACACACTCTCAGGATTCAGTCAGGCAATGTGGGATGTCTATCACTCAGTCACAAGCGAGGCAAGAGGTAGTGTGTGGACACTGCAAGAAGTTACTTTATTCTTTATTCGTTTCTAATTTAATTATTATCTATTTAATTATTTAGTTAATGTGCAGATGGCTGCTCCCCCACCTCATCTCTTTTTGCTTTCACACCGGGCATGGTCTTGGGTTAAATGTGACTCCTACAACTGAAAGCTTTTGGCAGCAGCACAGCACAAAATCTTATTGGGCTGCAAAATCTTATTGGGTTGCCTGTGGCACCTGCCAGTGGATGGGTAGCAGTCCCCTGACACGCACTGCTCGCCTGCGGATAGCCCTTATGGATCTCCCCTGCCTTGTGACCTGCAGCCAGCCTGCCCTCTGCCCCGACATAGGTAGGGGTGTGCTGATGAGACAGATGTGATGCTGACCAGTAATAATACTGTGAATATCAAGAAGTTCACCTAATATTGATTATTAGCAATGCGATGATAATAATACTGGATTACCACCTTTTTTGTATGATTACATCATCCTATTCCAGTACATGGGAAAATCCAGGATGGAAGCAATGCAGGGAAAGCAAAGAAGGACACTGCCATGCATTCTTGAATAGCAGTGGACCAAAATCTCAGCTTTAATACTCCTATATCTAATTGTTAATGAGCACTTTTCACTAGAGTTGGGGGGTTAAGAGACTCAAAAAAGACTCGAGTGCTTTAGAAAGCCGCTCTCACAGGATGCGTAGCAGATCAGCCACAGTCTTAAGACGCATATTGTCTCAAGGTACAGGAGAGACTTTGCAGAGCACAAGTCTTATGGGGAGCGGCTGAGGGAGCTGGGGTTGTTCAGCCTGGAGAAGAGGAGGCTGAGGGGAGACCTTATCGCTCTCTACAACTACCTGAAAGGAGGCTGTAGCGAGGTGGGGGTCGGCCTCTTCTCCCAAGTAACAAGCGATAGGACGAGAGGAAATCAGGCACTGACAGGCTGCCCAGGGAAGAGGTTGAGTCTCCATCCCTGGAGGTATTTAAAAGAAGGGCAGATGTGGTGCTTGAGGACATGGTATAGTGATGGACTTGGCAGTGCTAGGTTAACGGTTGGACTCGATGACCTTAAGGGTCTTTTCCAACCTAAACGATTCTATGATTCTATCCAGAGCCTGCCTTACTCCTTGCTTCACAGTCACAGCCCAGATACGCCCCACTCCTCTCACCCTGATAGCCACTGAAAGCTAAATCAAGGCTCTCCTGTCCCCGACTCTAACCTGAAGAACCAGGAGACCAGTGCTTCCCAGCAGGTCCAACATGGCCAGAGACAGGCAGAAGGCAGAAGTCTGTCTTTTCCCTCTGCCTGTTAATTTTCAGAGTCCTGTTTTGACTCCTGTTTTTTCCTTTCTGTCTTACGGTCACTCATACGCATTTCTTGAGCAGCTGTGAAGCTGTGCAGGCACCAGAGGGATAAAATGGAGGAGGAGTTTGGGAGAAGCTGAGCAGGCAGGAAAAAAAAAAAAAAAAAAAGAAAACCATACCCACTTAAAGATTTACTTAGTGCAGAAGGTCTGCATTTCAGAGTAGAAGTTAATGGAGTTGTAAGGGTTTTTAGCAGCCAAGAACATGGACTCCAGCATCCATTTCCTATCCCCAAGTCACATGTGGTTATGAGCTAGAAGTTCTGCATCTTAATTCATTATTTTTGCTCCTTGCTTCATAGTAGGTATCACACTTTGGAGTAGTCCATTCTGGTTTGGTTAGAGGAGGAGGTCTTCTAATTAGTTGCTGTGTAAAGACTGCCCAGAAATAGTTTATAGTGCAGTGGCCTATTCATGTGGCTGGAATTCATGTGATGTCGGATCTCCTCCTTTGCTAGGACATATTTTGCCATCTTGGGCAAAAAGCTCCATTTTTACTTGGATCTGTGTGTGCTGAGCCATGATACAGGATACACACCAGCGAAGCACTACATTCACATGAAGTGTTTCTATGATAGGCACACAGTTGTTAATTTGTCTCATGTCTGAGCTAATATTCAGGTGTGTAGTGGGCCAGACCCTGCTGTAAGATACAGTCTCTGCAGCCACACCCTTACAACTGGCCTGGTGTAAGTCAAGGCGCTATTCTCCCAGCACGGGAAACAGGCAACATGGTGAAGTCTGCTCTGGAGTCTCTCTACCGGTTGGCGGATGCAATAATAAAGTCATAACAATTTTCTGGAACTAACTGGAGGTTCAGAGGTTCCAAGCTACATTTAAACAGGATCGAAACAAATAGTTATGAGCCGAATAGATTCCTGGTGCAACTCTAAGGCTGGAGGAACTACACCTGGGATGATTTTGGTGCCACACTATGTCGATGGTCAGTCTCTCAATATGCCTGGCTATAAGCATCTTTAGAAATGACATTCTCTTTATAGTACTAAATTCTGATCTGCCAAATGTGGCAGCCAATGAGCTCTTCCAAACTAAATACTGTGAGGATTATACGTAAATACAGAAGTATCCTAATCAGTCTCTTGGCGAAAATTAATTGATCCATTACAGACAATAACTATTTGCTGAAGTTTTTATTCTGCATTTTTTACTTCTGTAAGTAGCACATGTGATTTCATTGGCTGGCTATTTTAAACCATAGGGGACCATTGGTGGAATAGTACAAATCCCTCTGAAATCCAAAATTGCCAGCTGCAATTATAGTCTGCATCTAGCATCTTCTCTAAGGACTATAAATGCTTCACTACTTTAATTTTGCTTGGCATTTGCATCACTGTGTGACAATTACTGAGCAATGGCAAAGGATAGATTCAGTAATGAAGCCTGGACAGTAAAGAAATACTGTCCAAATTGAAATATTTTCTCTGTTTCAATCTAATATTCATCAGTCTGTGCACATGGATACATCACATTTAGATACAAAGCACTGTTAAGACAGGTACCTTCCTTTTTGCTGCTAAAATGTCTGTGGCTTTTTGCATATTAGAGATGAGGAAAGTTGTTTTCTCCTCATATTTCTTAATTGTTTTTAACTACTCAAAAGGATGAGATTCTAAGTTGTAAATACTAGTAATTAAAAGGTCAGACTGGCAACTATATCATTCCAGATAAGGCTTGTGAAATTCTACCAATTTCAGTGATGTTACACTGGTATAAAACGGGAACAAAACAGCAGTGGCTCAGCTATTTTTTGAGCTCATATATACACAGTTCTAATTATTTAAACTATTTGTGATTGCCCCTAAGTCCTAGCTATACTAGAAGACAAGATCAAGCATTATACCTCAGACTGAATGAGCAGAGCTGCAAGTGGGGAAACAAACAATGACATTGTGAGAATATGGGGCTTACACAGGAAGGCTTCTGGGTATTGCCAAAATTAGTTTCCCTTGTTAAAAAGAGATATGCTGAAGAAACATTCCTTAATGGGGAAAAAGCAGACTTTGGAGAGGTGAGATTTAAAATATGTAAAATAAAAAACACCTGGGGCACAGTGAGCTGTGCAGAGTCGATGTTTGCAAATGACACTATCTACCTTCATCAGACAGAGCTGCAAAACTTCTGAGAGACCTAAGTAATTTTGGCAAATGGGCAACATAGTGGAAATGCTGTTCAATGTCATTGCAAGGTCAGGCAGTGCACAGTAAGATACACTAAGAGACAAAAATTTCAACTCTTCACACGTTTCAAAAGGGTTCAAAATTAATCGTATAAGCACTGGGACCTTGCTGCTCTTTGGGACCCAGAGCTTCGTGTGCAGCTGCAGTCTAACAAGGTTTTAGGCTGAATAAAGACTAGACTGAAAAATCACAGTACCAGCAACAGTGCAGGGCCATCTTGCATACTTTGGGCATCACTGCTGAGGCCCTTCAACAAGAATACTGAAGAATCAGACAGGTCTTGGAGTAGGCTAAGCATGATCCAGCACAAAAACTTTCAAAGACAGACTAGGAAGATGTGGTTAGTTTATTCCAAAGAGGCGATAAATGAGGCCGTGAAAAAAACAGTAGATAAAATGCTGAAAGAGGTATTTACCAGGAGCTCCTATTCTTCCTATCTCCACAACATGGTAGCGGTGTCCCTCCCTTATCCCCCCACCAAGAAAAGAAGAAAAAAAAAAAAAAAGAGAGAAAATCCACAAGAAAATTCCCAGCAACTGGCTGGTCTTCTCCTTGTGGTTTTCTCAAAGTCACACTGGAGGGCAACTAACAGCATTCACCAGCTCGGCATACCACCAAGCTGGTAACGTAACAGTATTAAATTGATTACAGAAATGATGGCTGGAGCATAGGAGGTTCTTAGACATTTCTACCTGATCTCAGTTTGCTAATTCTTGACAGAAATCTTCCACATTTAATGGCCACCCCTCTATACCCCATGCAATACAGAAAACCAGAAAGCTGGTGAGTAACACTGTTATGAAAAGAAAGAGTCTAGACAGGGTAAATCTGTCCAACTTAACCCAAAAAAAGCAGGTGCTGAAGGATGTAAGTATTTTGGATCAGGAAAAGACTCTGCTAGGCACACGAGATGCAGTCAGAAGAGAAAGTTATACCTCTGCCCTTTGGCCAAACTAACAGTCTATCAAATGGCACCTGCAGCTACAGTCCAAAATGTCATCAAAGCTGAAAATTTCCCAATGGTGCACTGAAAACAACCAAATCCACATAGTACATGCTGACACTTAACACAACCAAAGATCCCATAGGATACGCCAGGAAAATGAAATGGGGTGTTGTATGGGAAGTTATATTGGAGCAGAAATAACGTGTAGAGTCTCCTCCTCCTCCCCCCCCCCCCCCTCCCCCCCCCCGTCTTTTCCTCTTGAACACTGTGAACAAACAGATCTCAAATGTTTACAGCCGAAGGATAAAAACTGCATCCCACCACATTATTTCCAAAAGCAAGAGTTGGAAAAATATTTGTCTCCTACCTTGTTAACTTTGTCCCAATCTGCTGCCTAAGTTCGAGCCTCTCTTCATCAGTCTGCATGGGGAGGATGTTCTTTTCCTCCAGCTCTCGCTTGGAAGGCCTGTTGCTTAGTTTGATTGCTAAAGAGTCCTTCCTGCAGACTTTCATTGCCAGGGAGCCTGTGGGAGAGAGGAGAGGCTCTGCCAAAGGAGGTGTCATCATTTCATTACAGCATGCAGCAGGCAAAGAAGTACTAGCCAAGGGAGGATACTAGGCTCTCATTTACATTGGTATGGACTGTGGGAAAAGGGGTGTTAATTAACTTCATGTGTTCAATTAACCTCAAATCATATCATAATGAAGAAAAGCTGGATTTGGTAGGTATACAGGAGAAAGAAATTAAAATATTGCTCCGTAGAGGGGAGTGTCGAAGAAGGCCTTGTTTCAGAATTGCTAGTAGCATCTGTAGCTTTCTCCAGCACAGTGTTTCTGAACCATGTAATGGAATGAATAATTCAATCTCAGAATCTGGGCAGGCGGCAGAACTACAGCATGTGGAATGTAATACAGCATTGCAATGTAATATCAAGACATCCAAGCTAGCACTAGAAGGAATCAAAGGTCAATCAGAAGCAGCACTGATCTCTATGTACATTAACTGACACTGCTTCTCAGGCAGCGACAGTGGTAAAGGCACTGTGAGAACCAGTGGCCTTTCATGGCTCAAGCTTGCTTCGCTAGGCTTGCATCCAAAGCAGTTTGAGCAGGGAAGACAAGACACAAGCAGACGGAGAGACACAAACCCATGAGAGGTTTTGGGCTTTGGCAGGAGAGTGCGAGATAGTGCAGTTCTGCTCCGTTTCTTAGTTTAAGAGCAAAGACTGCTTAATTTCACTTGCAGGGTAAGGGAGGATTCTGAGGAGATGAAATACGCCTGGTTTAGAATCTTCTTTGTGTGCGTTTTAAAAAGGGTGTCGTTTGTTTGTACTGCTCCCAGTTTTCAGAAGAAATTCAAGGGCCTGAAACTTCAGCTTGACCTGCAGGATGACAAGCAGTGCTCATACGCAAAGTACCGTATCTTGTCTTCATGGGAGAGTCCTATGATGCCACACCGAGGCAGGAGATGGGTTTTCTCAGAGAGGGTCAGGAAGGTGCCACAGGTCCCTCTCCAGACTGTAACTGCGATATGGCTATCAATTAACCTCTTCTCTTTTTATCTGAGCCCAATTCTCTGATTGCGACCCCTTTCAAAGTATGTGCAGACTTAGGATTCTGACACGATTTAATACTTACTATGTATAAAATCTCTGATTCTCTATCGGTGGCACTTATTTCATCCTCCCGAAGTAACTCTATTGAGCTGATCTTGACTTAAGCCAAAAGCAGGGCTTCTCTACACCACAGACACTTGGGAAAGCGAATCCAAAAGTCAATTTGGAAGTGAACTAATATAAGCCAAAAACAGTCATTTGAATTCTGTCTGAGAGCTACCCTGACAGGGATTCATGCGGATTAGGGAAATCACTATAAATTCATACTACTTGTTATTTTGGATTAATTTACCAAGCATCCCCATGTAGTGAAGCCCTGACAGATGCAAAAGCCATGATCAAGAAAGAAAATTCACAGGCCTTGTGTTTCCCTTGTGTATTGTGAGTTCAGAGTAAAAAATAAATGAGAATGGAAAAATGGATTGAGTCTTACTTGTAAATAATGAGTTATCCTCATCTTCATCTTCCTCTTCCTCCTCCTCCTGTCTCGTGTAGAGGCAGGAAGAATCTTCATAGTCGGTTTCATGAGGCACATTTTCTTTATTGTCATCGCATTCGATCACAACAGTTGGCACTTGTCTCATGTCTGGAAGGCCCCCAGGTCCTGTTTTTGTAACACTGTCACCTGTGTGTAAACCAGAGCTGTTGGGAAAGAAAAAGAAATAAATAAACTAAAGGACACAGCTCAATGGAAGACTGAGTTGCCTCTCTCACTGTATTTAGGAAAGCAGTGGTCTTTCATCCCTTTTTGGGAAGAAACGAGGACAGAAAGTTCTTCATGACCAGTAAGACATCTAATGGGTTTAAACTGAGTACACATTGGATTTAAGGTACAACACTTGTTTGGGAGAGGTAGGACAGCACGCGGGCAGAAATACTGGCAGCCAGGACTGACAACTAAAGATCTGTGGCAAATGCAGTCTCAAGTCTTAGTGAGAATTGCACCAGCTACTCAGAGTGATAAGCATGTCTTCAGCCTGGTGTCTGTGTGACCTCTCCACTGGTGTGCAGGCAGTAAGGAGAAAAGGTCTCACCTGAATGCAAAAGGTGGAGTAAGAGAGAGGGAGGAAGGAAAGGTATAGATTGTAGAGGACGATTGTAGAAAGGCAGAGGGAAACCATGACTTGCACTCCTTGGGCAAGATGATGTTGATTGACTTGAGGGGAAGGCAAGGGCACAACTCTGAAGCGCAGGGGACTGAGCATATGAAACTGGGCTTGGAGAAAAGAGACTTTGGAAGCTGGTGAGAGTAATGAGAGGGAGCTAAAACCTGGGAGGTTGGTTTGGTAATGGCACAGTTATACGCCGGGGGGCCTGCAGTGATGATAACCCTTCTCCTGCCCCAGCTCCTCACTCGCAGCCAGGTGCCGGAGATCAATCTGAATTGGAGCTAACATCGTATTTTTTTGTCACATAAAGTGTGATCGATCATTTCCTGTAGCTTACGAGGTTAAGACCTGTGGTCAGTACTGCTACCATCTAGCTCTCTTCATGTGTTGATTTCAAAGCCCTTTACCAAGGAACATATTAATACAAAGTAGGGAAACAGGAACATGAGGAGGCGAAGATCAAAGTCCAACAAAAGGCGAAAGGAAAAGTCAGGAACAGAACCAGGTTTCCCAACCCATTTTTATCTAATAGCTCATGTTGCTTTTCTGATGTGAAATGAGAATGAGAGACCGGCAGGCAAAAATGACGGCTGCTCTAGTTTATTTGTGAGTCAGCAGAAACTGCCCTCTCTCTTAAATCCCAGCTGAAGCAACAGCTGTATGAAAGGTGGCGAACATTTGCCTGCTGGACACCCTCTTTATGTCAAACCCCCATTTTACTTTCCAGAAGAACACAGGTGTGAAACCAGATGTGCTGGCCAAGTTGCACTTGAGGCACACAAACTTGGGTCTGGCCTTACCGAGTGCTGAGTAGCCTCAATTCCCTTGAATGTTTTAGCCTGCTCAGAATACCAGAGGCATTCTGCATCTTGAAAAACTGTTGTATTCTTCTCTTTAAATGATTTTCTACTGAGTCAACTTGAAACATTTCTCTTTCTTCTAACCCTGAAGTTAACATGGACTCTTAAATGGCTGCCAGATAACATCCCAGAAAGACTTTTTAAAACGTGCTTCTGGGTGTATAATGCTTGTCCACAATGGGCTTAGGGATTAAGGCGAAGCAAAGGCTTCAGATCCTGTGAGCAAACCATACCATACCATGCTGTTATTATCATCCTCGGAATCAAAGAAATCATTTTGTTAACTGCAACATTTACTATTGCAGACTAACCAACAATAAGATGCACAGCTTTACTGGATGCCTGGACGAGAGGAACTCAGTTTTCTTAGTGACAGTCCATGTTTTGTACCACACAGCAAGAGGTATTCAAGAAGAACTGGCTTGTGAATTTTTGTATTAGACTTCAATGAGTTTGACCCAAATAAATTTTACCCCAGAAGCAGTTTTAAAATTCATCAGCTGAATTCTCCTCATGACACATAAATGCACTACAGTCTTTAAAAACTTTCAGCTAACTTTTAGTTTATTGATATGCTTTAATAATTTTAATTTTATGAGCTTCATTTTTTAAATCTGTTTTCTTTGTAACCTATTTTTTGTGTAACTCTTTTTAAGAGGAAAGCTAGGAAATTCAAAACCCTGGACTTAAATTTCTAAGAGAAACTAAAATGCTGTGAAATTCTGTTAACATTGCTAAAAAAAAAAAAAAAAAAAAATAAAAGACTTCTGATGGTGAACACAACTGGATCATTCAGTTAATTTTAAAACAATACATATACAGAGAGCAAGTACGAGTCCACTAAGTCCCTTCTGGAAGTACAAATGAAAGGAGCCAAAAGTAGTTCAGCATCCAGGACCATTTGGTGCTTCCCTGTTCCGTGAAGGATGTATCTGGAGGTTACAGATGCATCCTTATGGGTGTGCACATAGGGTAGCAGATATCAAAGTGGTTCACCAATTTAGGTTACCAAGCAGGCATCGGATGGCAACAAGATTTACAAATTACCACAGAGGATTTTTATTTGAACTAGTGATCTAGAAATAGGCGGCTTCTCATCTCATTGTAATTTTTCTGAATCATCCACTTCCTTGATAATACTACTTTCTATTTTAAGCTCCTCATTTTTCCTGGTGTTTTGTGTTCTTCTTGATTAAAATCAGCCTTTTCCACAGCATTTCGACTAAGTCAGCTGTCTCGGCAAAGCACTTATGAAATACATGCAGTACTGCAGTATACTTAAGAAAGACAAATCAAGGTCGCTGGATGTTTCCATTGTGTATAAATTCCTCTGGGTCATTAGCAAAAACCCCACATGGTCAGGTGGTCTACACCACAAAAATTTTTTAGCATTATTTACCAAAAAGCACACTATTGTTTCAAACAGTCTATTTTAAATCAGCTTCGTCTTTTGCAACAGAATTAGAGAACAAAGCTACAGCTAAGCAAGTTCTTGTTTTAAGAAGATAAATGTATCTTAACACATAGATTTAAATAATTCATAGCTGACTAGTACAAGCACTTGCAATTACTGTTGCATCATCTTTATGTGATCAAAACAGCAAAAAAGTTACACCACTATAGCTTACCATGTTTCTAGTGAGAAAATATTTTAATGAAAAAACAGAATTTAAGCATATGAGTGACTCATGGTACAGACAAAATTGAGGAAGATAAAAGTGAAATCCCTCCTGGAAAATCTAGTGGGAAAAAACCGCACGCTTCTCATCTGTCATCCTAGGCTCTTTGATTTTGGCATAAAGAGTTACATTTTTATCACCGTGTTTTCAGATCCACAGTACACTCTTCTGTACTTATCACTTAAAACAAAAATCTGAAAAAACTTCAAACCATTGTATATACATTTCTACAATACAGGCATATGTGTGAGAGACAGAGAGAGAAGGCAGAGCTATAAATATTAAGTGTTTCTATCCTTAGGCAATGCTAAAGTTTAGACAAAAAGCAATTCTCTTGACAAGTTTTATGGAAGATAAATGTTTTCTGACTCAAATACATTTTATAAGATTTAGAAGATGCTGGCAGGAATGTCTAATGCATTTCATTGCATAAATCTACAGTCTGAAGCTGAACTGGGTGTCCCAGAGGAACTGGTCTCACACACTGTCTTTTTGGACACAGCAATTTTTCACTGCTCTGCCACAGAGGCAATTCTAGCCCAGAGTGAGATATTGCCACTTAGCAGCTCTTTAGTACATACATCGAACAAACTGAGGCCTTGATTCAGCTGCCAGTGTACAAAAGCCCACGGAGTAATTGAAATTAATTGTTGTCTTACCAGACAGACTGAGAACGATATGGGCAAGGCAGAAAATAAGGCTATTTCAGATCAAGAAGCTGCCTCCCTAAGTCAAAATTAAAGATACATTGCAGTGGCACAAGAGGGTTTCTAAAGCTTCTTTTGCTGCTGTTCGTGATGCACGGCTTTTGGGCATGGTCTTTCTTCTCAAATTCATTTCAGTCAGGAGGATGAAACCTTCTGCGAATTTTGGTGGCAAGGCTTATCAGATTTTCACCAACTCTTAAAACGCATTCTGAAATGGTAAAAAATGATGCCTGAATCTAGAGTTTTACTTATGCTTGACACATACCCTTTGGGCTGAAGGGGAAATTTGTTTGCAGTAGGGCACAAATTGGCAACAGAGGTTGCAGAAAAAAGGTTACGTGGAAATTATACTCTTCTCTGTTTCAACTTAATCTATCATAAAGCTGGTAATTTATCAGGGAAAATAGAGGCAAACTGGCAGTACAAATGACATGTCATAGTAGTCATGCTACGACAAGGGACAGATTGCCCTTCTGAGAATAGGTTATAAATAGATATTATGAGTACCAGAAAATGTTTGCAATCAAAAGCGTTAAGTGTGCAAATGAACTTAATGTTCTATAATGTCTGTAATAAAACCGAATAAAAAAATCCAGGAATTAACTGCCATTTTAAGTCATAAGAACAACTGGGACTTGAATAGCTATTACACACTTTTAATGTACCTTAAGCCATTAACTTACTAATATGCACTAGGTCTAGGTGAGGCAGTAACATGCAACCACTCCTGCAGAGGGGAAGATAGAGGTAGAGAAGCTCAGTAGCTTTGTCAAGGTCAAAGACAGGAAAATAACTTCTGGCTTCCAGGCCGGTACAGAGGGACAGCTCATTTCTCTCTGGCAAGCTTCTGGCTCATTGGCAAAGCACTACTTTCAAGTATTAGTCTTCAGATGTTGTTAGACTACCCGAATTCCAGAGACCTCATCTGCGAAAGCAAAAAATCCAGATTGCTAGAGGAAGGGGATGTTCTAGTCTTTCATCGCTTGTTCCTGTCCACACTCATAGTCCTGGTGGAGAGAAGAGTTGTGAGGTCTAAGAAAAGTTTACTGGGCAAAATGCGGAATTGATACAGACTGGTTATGGATTCAGCGAATATCAATGGAGTTTAACAGACTTGAGGAGCTTCCACTGCACTAGGAGCAAACAAACTAGACACAGGGAAGAAAAAAAAATCGTCCTAAAGGCAAAAAAAGACAGAATTTAGAGCAGAACACTGATCTGCACTTGTCTACGTGATCCTCCCCTATTAAAAACAAAATACTACTCTAAATAATCCCCCAAATTACCAGACTTGGCAGCATTATTACTGCAGCATCGTGGCAATTATTCTATAATGTTGTAGGATTCTTTTGAGATAAAGACTGAGATCAGCAAAAATAAATGCTGCCAATGAACTTAGCATTCCCCAGAAGGTGCCTCAGCGACTTGTCAGGCTCTCTCGTCTCCTCAAGATTATTGACCCAACAACAGTGACCCAGTAGCATGTTATCCTGGAAAGAACAGTAAAGCTCAGGATCTGACTACATATCCTATGCATGCAACAGATGTGAGCAGGCTACCAAATTTTAATTAGAGGAAAGCAGATCTGGGATCTGTGCAGTTTTAAAAAGCCCTCAAGAGTTCTGGGCTGAAGTGTCCAATGGCAAATGCTGCAGCATGATTTCCGCTGGGTTTAATCCAGATTTTATGCAATTATGGGAAAAGAACTACTGTGAAAAATACTAGAGAACAGTGGCATTCGGCGCAAATAATTCTCTCCCATATATAAGAACATATATTTTAAAAATCTGCACAAATTTTCAAGAAAAGTTAGCAAATTTACTAAGATCACAATGTGGCATGAAAAAGCAATTTAAGAATTTAACAGCCAAGTGTCAGCTCCACAGACTCTTTTACCTGTAAATACTATGAAAATAACAATCGCTGTTGCAGAGGAAACAGTCACCACCTATTCTCTCTCTTGTGAATGCAAATGTTATTGATTTGTTCTGACAAGGAGAATAAGTGAAGTATTCAATACTTTATTTCATGATTGAAATAATAGTTAATCAGCACAAAAAGGCTATGAAAAATCAACTGCCTGCAATATCATGAACTAGGATTCATTTTCATTTAAAATGTGACATATCAGTGCCACAACCTTTTCTTATTTTCTTCTACAAAGGGACACAATTGTTTCATATCAGGAAATGAATCCTTGTTTATTCGGTTTTTAACAAGCAGCAGAGCTTCAGCTTCAAATTAATAGTTAAAACCAAAGAGCATCACCTTCTTTAAATCGGTTAAAAGTATTTGTAGACATAAACATGATGGATACCTAGAAACTGGAGCATTCATTGCTGTGGGGCAACAGATGCCACAATGAAGTCATACTCTGAGAGATGTCACTGGGCTCAGGATAACAAAGTGCCTTCTGCACGCACTGTGAGCCAGACAGTAAGACATCCGACCTATGCTGGGGACGGCACGGGCAGCGCAGCCCCAAAGGAGCCTTTGGGAGACAACAGCTACCCTCTGTGCTCGGTGCACCAAGCTTTGGGGTGATGCAGATGCATCCGACCAGCCCTGCTGGCAATGTGAGAGGTAACTGGGTCGTCACTGGGCACAAGGGCGAATGTGGATGCTTTTGCCAATCCTACCGCTACAGCCCTTTTACTGATGGGAAGAGGAACTGCCCTCACAGCCCTAAGTTCTCCCCCAGCAGAGACCTCCCCCACGCTGCAGAAACATCAGCCCCTCCGATATAACCACAGAGGTCTCACTATCCTGGTACTAAAATAAGCTGGCAGTGTGGGCCAGCCTCTGGTCCCCTGACTGTTTTTCATGCAGTCAGAAGAATCTGCCACCCCTAATTGAATTATTTTTAACTATCATTAGGGCAAATCATTAAGTATTTTGTCTGTTAGACTCAATATTTTCACTTCCTGTCTCAGAAAAGGATGATCTGATGCTCCCAGAACAAGCTGGATACAAAGCTGCCCTTGGTACTGAATAGAAAATGTCATTTTTTGGACTACCTTCCCTATTCTGAGACTTGCTCAATTTTCCTCTACAAGATGAAATAAATTTTCCAAAGCTTGCTGATCTTGCAGTCTATGAGGACAGCTTGCATTTATACAGCATGCTTCACTTACTCAGACTATTTGAAGCAGCATTCAGAGACACCCACAAGTGACAGTAATAGAAAACAGCCCCAAGGTGGGTAAGGCTCTTCTGATTAAATGTACAATCTTCCTCCAGATACAAATGGCTAAGAAGGTAGCTGCTGTGGAATGGGTTAAATACTTACAAGATCAAATATGTAATTTAATTTAAATGAATTGAAATAGTACATTAAAACCCCTCCAAGTGACTTGTAGGAAGGCCTCATAGGTTTTTCTGAGCTAATTGGTAATACTAATCAGATGCCCTGGTTGAGTGGCACGTTTGGTTTTTATTGCTCTTTTTTGAACCTTCCACTTCCTCTCCCTTTTTTTTTTTTGGCAATCCTCTGCATAACCAGAGCTCTGCAGTTATGCACTCTGCAGTATATATTGCAAGCCAGGCATGTCCTATTAACATCTTCTCCACTGGCTGTATTATCTAGCTCCTTGAACAGGACAACGGGGTTCAGGAAATTTGGTCTTTTTCTCCTTTCTGGCACAAACTCGTCAAACACGCCTGGAAAGGCTCTTTCCCCATCTCTGTTTCTCCAGCAATGACTGCCCTGAAGTTGTTAGACCCTCAGAGCAGAGGCCTCGTTCAAGTCCTGTCAACATAACTCAGGTGGTGATATTGATACTGAGGTTAGCAAGAAACAGTTCACATCAATATGTAATTTTAAAAGTTGATCCATTACCTTTCTAGCCTTTGCATGGTCATGGCTAGCGTTTTGTTCAGTTCCTCTATCATCCGGCACCCTGAAGGGTGAATGGGCAACGTGCTGGACCCAGAAGGCAGGTGCTGGCTGTGGCTGCCGTACTGGAGCTGGTGCTGGTGAGCTGCTAACTGGGATGGCAGGACAGTGTGATGGTGCTGGGTCAAAGGCTGCTGGGAGCTCTTCTGCGTGGAATAGGATGAGAGAGAGAGGTCTGGCCCCCCTAAAGGCATGCAAATCATGACTTTCTTTGGAGGTAGCGGAGGTGACAGTTTAACTGGCATACAAGGCAGTTTCACAGGAGCGCCAGGATCTAAAACAGAGGAAAGAGAGGTCCTGGAGTTACTTTTCATGTCAGTAAGATGGAGATCAGAGTATCTGCCTGGGCGAGCAGGTACCAAGGTTGCTAGTCAACATGGGAGCGTTCACCCCTTCCCTGCTGCGACAGACAACTTTGCATAGCATGCACTCAGCACGGTCTTCAGAAAAAATACTGTTGCTTTGCAGCACTTACGAGTCTCACAAAAAACATCCCAGGGCTGTGCATGCCCCTTAATAAACACGTTAAGCAATGCTTAACAAGGCTCATGGCACACTTTGATGCTTTAAAGCCCTAAACCTCCAAAACAGCCCTGTGAGGTAAGCGCGATGTCTCCCGCTCAACAAGCACGCAAACAGGGGGAAGAGCAATTTGGTGTCTGAAGTTACAGGATGACTCACCACCATCACTGCTGGAGCAAAAGCTCAGGGACTCCTGATCCTTCTCAGCCACTGCAGTGCAATTACTACAAGTCACATTTCTTACAGCTTTGTAATGTGCAAAACATCTGGTGTTAAAAATTACAGTACAGGGCAACAGAGAAAAGAAATAGGGTTTGAATACTACACAGGAAGGGTCTGGAAAAACGAAGGGTACAAGAGGAGAAAAGGATAAAGGGCAGAAGCTTGTTAGGATTCATGTATTCTTTTACAGAAGACTTGGCAGGCTCTTTTCTCTGGACTCATGCACTGAATTTTAACCTTTTTGACTCTAGGCATGTTCCTTGAATCACACAGTTGACCTGCCAGGCAAAGACTCCCCTGACTTCCATGGGAAATCAGTGAAAGGTCTACTAGCAAATCTCTCTGTCAGGACTCAACTGTAGGATGGAGATTTTTGGAGTTGCACCATGAAAAGCTTTCAGAAGGGAAAAGAAGTTAATGGGAGGGCTTTTAGTTCCCAAGATGGGTGTAGGAAATGGCCACCATGTATGCTAAGAGCAAAAACGAGAGCAAATATACATGCTGTGAGCTGCAACTGTGAGTTCATGTTTATGAGGAAGGCCAGGCCCTTTCCGGTCTCTAATACCACAGACATTTGGCTCTTCAATGCAGCTCTGTGGGCAAGGCTTGCACGCTCTTTGGCCTCTTGTTGCTTCAGTTCACTCTTCTTGCTGTAACATGGTAAAGGAACTGAAGGGCTACAATACTCTTTTGACCTGAGAAAGCCTGGGAGTGAGATGTTGCCCTCCATGTTTCAAAGGTCATCACCCTCCCGATCAATATCAGATTTCTAAAGTCCTGTTCCAGATGGTTCTTTTTAGCATTAGCTGTCCTTCTCCTTACCCCCTTTATTCCTTCCTCCCTCCTGGCCTGTATTACTATCCATATCTACTAGCCAGGGTGCACAAGGTTGATACTAAGACTGCCAAGCACTAACGCTTCTTGAAAATGTTAGGGACAGTAGTGTGGAAAAGGACCATACATGAAGCCAAGCTCAGATATGACATTAGACTTTTTTTAGTGCTCGTCGTAGCTTCATTGCATCCATGGTATCCACTTGATACTAGTGTTTTTACTACACTAGGAACAACACACTGACAGCAAGTCTTCCCTTTCTTCAAAGGGCTTACAGGCTAAAGACGCAGGAGAGGCAAGGGGTGCGCAAAGATGAAATAGAGGCATGGAGAGAAAGTGGTATTTCCACATTGCAGAGTGGGGGGTTACAGTAGAACCCAAGTCTTTTAGCTTTCAATGCAATATCATATCCACTTGACATGTCTCTTGAAGGCAAGAATTCTTCTGATGGCTTCACCAAGGCTGAAATCTAACTCATGAGATTGCCAAAGCACATGGCACTGCCCTCTCCTCTAAGGCAGACTGCCTTCTGTACAGTAGAAAAGAATACTTTCAAGATTTTCTATTCAAGCACAGTAAGGTCTCCAAGTTACTGTGTTTTTCTTACATACGCGTTAGCTGCGTATATCTCCTCTTTGTATCCTGCATAAAAGAACACACTATCTTCAATAAAATATAAATAACAGAAAGAGTAAAGAGTAAATTGTATAGAGCCCTGAGAATAAGGCTCCTATGGGATCTGTAGTAACAAAGTGTTTTCACACATTTGGGCTCCAGGCAATTTCACTTCTAGAGCTGGTCCTGAATTACAAAGACTATACTGAGATCTGCACTTCCATTTTGAAAAGTGCAACTTTGACAGTTGGTTTTAGATCCTTTTCTGCTGTATCTCAATTAACGTCTTCATTTGACAGTACCTGTGCCTGGATGCCCCACCACTCTGTCTATGATGCAGGGGAGTCATCCTTAATGGTGAATTCAAAGAGATCCCAACTGCAGGTGTCTCATGCTTTAGACAAAAGAATAACTGGAAGTATCAACTGGGTTTGCTGCTTCTGTGATCCTGAAGATTAGAGCAATACTGTATGGTGGGAGTAAGTATAATATGCCAAATGGTTGAGGCATAAAGCAAACAGGAATCCTTTCCTCTTTCTTCTAAAATATAGCGAAACTTTCTTTTTCTTTCTCATGCAAGCATTCATCTAATAGAGTTGTGACAGAGGCACTGCAGCTTCGGAGTTGAACAGGAGAACAAGTCTAGCTTAATTATCCGAAGTAACCACATACTCCATCATGAATCAGATGTGCGTACTCTGGTTTCCACTCTTCACAACAAAGGTATGGACCTTTAGTTTCCACTTAAAAAAACCCTTCACATCAACGTGTTTTCAGTGGTATCAAGTGCTGGGTGACTCCACTGGACACCTGCAAAAATCTTCTCCATTATTTTTAACACAAGACTTTATTCAGACCCGCTGTGTTTCACGCAAGTTCTTGAGCCTGTCTGAATATGGCCCTAATACCTAAATAGAGCTGTGAAAATGAACCAGAGGCAAATCTACTTGTCTGCCCTTCACCTTCGGGAGAGTTCTACTTGTCTGTTAAAAAAAAAAAAAGGCTAAAAGGAGAATTACTGCAATGGGAGGAGGAGAGTTCGATCCATTCACTCGGAAACCTGTCAGTGTATCTTCACCTACATCAGTAACGGAGACCTTGTACTGCAAATTTTACTGCGTGGTCAGATCAGTGAGTGTGCTGAACAAATAGGACCTTGCTCAAATCCATGGGCTCCAGGCATGCTGTTGGAAACTGCGCTACCATCATCTGCAGTAAACGAGAGAACAACTTGTCCCTGCGTGTAAGAGTGAGATGCTGCGTTTTACAGTTCTTTCCTCTGTTTTGATTTCACAATATATGTGATTATGAACCAGGGATAGAAACAGTTATTGTCTCCAGCACGGAATATCCATCAGACACGGACATCTTGTAGATGAATAAGAAGCTGGACAGTGGAAATATGAACAAGGAATCTGTCATAAGTGTCTTCTCAGTGGAACATTACCAGAGTCTTAAATCATTGCACAAAGCACTCATGTGACGGAAGAGAAGCAAACTGTGTGAAGCCAGGTGTGCAAGTCTGATTAATCTCTTTTGGCTGAGGTTCTTCATGCTCAAGAGAATAATGAGCGATTTTGCAAGATGTTGGTTCCCAGCAGGGTTGTGACCACTCAGCACTGTGCATGGTTAAGTAATAACTGTGCCAGAATTGATGAAAGAGGTGTCAGACATAGAAACCTTCCCACTGCTAATGACAATAAATTACTTAAAAGATAGTTGTGGATGCCACAATATTTGCTACACATCAGACCTACGACAAACAGGTCATCCCTTACCCCTTCCATATAGATAATTTTGCTAGTATCTATAGTTGCTGCATTTCCTCTTAGGTTTTTCAGGAGATAAACATACTTTTATTCACTGCACAGAAGGTCTGCCCATGCATGGTTCTTCTGATGTGTCTGTGGTACTCTGAAGCCGTACACTAACTACACCAATCTGATGGTTCCCAGCCACTGAACATGGCTGGAAAGTTGGTCAGCACATGTTGCAGATACACCTGTTGCAGATAGAGTGCTAGGAAGTTCTGGATGTATGGCAGCAAATATTGCCCCAGCAGGGCTGCTAGAAAGTCCTCAAATCCTCCCGCAGCACAACTACTGCATGGAGCAAGAGGGCATGCCTGGGAATCCTGGGATTGTGGCAGAGCTGGCTATGTTTGCTATCCTGCCAGCAGAAGTAAAGCTCTTCCTTGACTCCTTGTGATGCCAAACAGAAGCCAGCATTGTACCCCAACAGCAAGGAAGGCCAACAGCCTCCTGGGTTGTATGAGTAGAAGCATAGCTAGGAGATCAAGGGATTATTCCCTTTCTATTCAGCGCTCCTTGGACTGTATCTACATTACCGTGTCAAGCTTTGGGCACCTCAGGAAAGACATCAAAAACCTAGAATGAGTTGAGCAGAGGGCCACGACGATGATTGAGGGCTGGATCACCTGACCTGTGAGGAGAAGCTGAGGGACCAGGCCTTGTTCAGGTTGGAGAAAAGAGAGCCTGTGGGGGGGGAACCTAACAGCAGTCCTCCAGTACCTATGAGGAGGTTATCAGTAAGGTGGAGCCAGTCTCTTCACAGTTGTGCATGGTGGCAGAGGAAGACAACAGAGGTTCTGGACTGGACTATAAGGAAAACATTTTCCCCCACGAGAAGAGCCAAATGGTGGAACAAGTTTGCCCAGACAGGCTGTGCAGTTGGCATCCCTTGCGGTTTTCAAGACCCGGCTGGACAAAGCTCTGAGCAACCTGGTCTGATCCCATAGCCGGCCCTGCTTTGAGCAATAGGTTGGACTAGAGACTTCCTGAGGTTCCTTCCCACCTGAATGACCTTATACTATGACCTCTGCTGTACTATATACAACTACAATTAATACAACTCGTCATAAAGTTAACGAGTTACTCTTTAAATTCCATCCAAGTAATTAATTCTGTAATGTGCAAAAAAAAAAGTGCAAAAACCAGTGTTGAGGGAGCTCCATAGTGGAAATGAGGTGATGTGTCTGATATTTGCTGGTAGCATTTGGACAAGTAGCTTTTACTTTTTCAGGGAAAGATTTGAGACTGAAATTCTTTGCTGTTCTTTTGC